CTATTTGCAGATATGGAGAGGAAATCGTTATATAACACACGTTTCATGGACTTCACAGAACACACAGCGACACGATATTACGGTCAGCGATACGAAGAACAGAGAGGGGACTCCCCGAATGTTGAAAGAGGTGCCTAGGTTTACTAGACACATTTCTTCTTCCTTTTATATACAAGTTTGTACGATAATGCCGCACAATGAAAGTGCTTTTACGGCATGTTTCGACAAAGAGAAATATAATAGTAAAGTCACAAGATCGGCTTCTAAATAAGAAAAATCTATTTTTATCTCATATCTACATTATCAGTTTTCGCCGCGTTGGCAACCTTCGCTTCAAGGTTCTCACTGTTTTTATTAAAAGATTATGGGAAATGAAAGGCGTGTTAGACAAAAGGAAACGATATATTGTCATGAACTTCGAAGGCAACTGCAGTTCTAGATAGACACGAAAATCACGCCTGTTGTCTTTTCTTGGTGCGAGACAAGAATATACGTTAAGCACATACGTAAGTGTCCCCGTGAGAGGTGCCTGGCAACTGCGCCCAGTGCCTCTGACTTGGAATTAACAATCTTACATAATAAAATTACATTTAAAACAACAACGCATTTTCATTTTTGCAACAGAGCATTCGGTGTCTACGTAGAAAAGCGCCAGCGGAGACTGCGATTCGAATTGCCTTGAATAAGGAACATGTTGGAGCCTCCGCTGCGCTCTCTACCAGCGGGATGTTGTTAGCATGTGCGAAGGCATTCACAGATCAGGTGGGAATTCCCCTGAACAGCTATTATCACTCGGTTTCCTGTGCACGGAGCTACTTACGCAACACACTCATATCTCCATTCGCATACATTTTAGTTGACTCGCTTGAGGGCTTGGGCGAGGACTAATGGCGCTGGCATTTGGGATTTTGTGACATTACCGATCATGCTGTTTGAGCCGTGACATCATGACATCAGGCACAGGTGGCGGGACGAAGACAGCGTAGGGGGGGGGGGGGGGGGATTAATGGACATGAAAGCGTTTTGGGAACAAGCTAAACGGATGTACGCAAGGCCAAAAAAGCACACATATATATGTATATATACATATATATACATATATATATATATATATATATATATGTGTGTGTGTGTGTGTGTGTATGTGCTTGTGTGTGCATATGTGCATATATATACATATATATGTAAATGTACATGTGAATGTGTGTGTGTGTACGTAAGCATACATATATATACACAAATACTCACACACATATATACATATAATAATATAAACAAATATATACATATACATACATGGATACACACACACCACACATACACACATCAAACACACATACATGCACACACACATACACACACACACACACAACACACACACCACACACACACACACACAACACACACACACACACACACACACACACACACATATATATATATATATATATATATATATATTGTGTGTGTGTGTGTGTGTGTGTGTATACATATATATATGTATATATATACATATATATATGTATATATATATATATATATATATATATATATATATATATATACATAATGCGTGTGTGGATTTAAAGCAATATGCACAGCAACGTATACCTACCTGCGGCCATTACTAGGTTGCAAGCCGGCCTTGAGCAGTGAGAAGCGAGATTACTTATAAAGTCTCTTGTTTCATTCCATTCGTTATTGCAGGCGAGTTTGCGAAGTTTCATGCTCAGTATAATTCCAGGGTTTGTGCAAATCTTCCCATTTTCGCTACCCGTTTTCTTTATTTGAGGTATAACGACAGTATATTGCCGAAGCGAAAATATTTAAGCAAATCATATTCAAATATTATCTTTTATGTCATAGTGAAAGTTAAATTAATCTTGTATTAGTATTGGTAATATTTTTCTTATATTTACTGGTATTATTATTATTACCTTTGCCAACCATTAACAAGTTTCAAAATCGTTGCATTAGCTCATCAGAATTGATATCACAATTGCTTAATGTCACGCTTTTTTCATTGTCATTATTGATTTTATTAATGCTATTCGCATTATCTATTTTTATATAGATATTTATACATAACCATTATGAAGTCTTAGAAATTATGTGCATTCTAATTGTTTATAGGAATTGTCATTGTTAGTGATTCCGTTGTTAATGGATCACCATTTTCCATTCTCGCTACTTTCAATATTGTTGCTAACAGTATACATATATGAATATATATATATATATATATATATATATACATTTATATATATAAACATATATATATATATATATATATATATATATATATATATGTATATATATTTAGCACACACACACGCACACACACATACACATACACATGCACATGCACATACACACACACACCACACACACACACACACACACACACACACACACACACACACACACACACACACATATATAATATATATATATATATATATATATATATATATATACATAATTAGTATACACATATATATACAATTATGTATATAAATATATTTACAATTATATATATATATATATATATATATATATACATATATATACATGTATATACATAATCATAAATATATTCGATATATACACACATATACACACACTCATATATATATATATATATATACATATATATATGTATGTATGTATGTATGTACACACACACACACACACACACACACACACACACACACACACACACACACACACACACACACACACACACATATATATATATATATACATATGTATGTATGTATATATATATATACATATGTATGTATGTATATATATATATATATATATATATATATATATACTTATATGTGTGTGTGTGTATATGTATATATGTACATACATGTGTGTGTATATATATGTATATGTATGCACATTTAGTTTGTGCATTATTGATTTAGTTTGTGCATTATTGTTTTTTCTACCATGCATATATGTACAAAGCTGTACATACATAATATTAGCAAGAGCAGAGATTTTGTAAACTACAGTTTTTAGACATGACAGGTTCTTTCGAAATGACAAAGAAATTTACGGGGTCGTAAACAAAATGTATGTACAGCATTGCAGAAAGGAAAAGGCATAGTAATCCTGAACAAAAATTACTATTACTAAATATCATTACTATTACTAAATAACATTCTTGCAAACTCGTCTAAATTCATACTTCTAAATGTTGAACTGACCAGCTATGTCCTCAAACTTGAAGATAAATTAAATAGAATCTTACGTTCTCTAAATGAAACCATTAACGAAGTCACATATAATTCCATTCTTGCTTCTATTTATATGGACTCCCCAAAGTTCACAATATGGGCCTATTGTGTTCTCAATTAACACCTAATTATAACCTTGCTAAATTCCTAGTCCAAATTATAAAACCCCTTACCACTAATGAGTACATTACTGCCAACACCTTGGAAATCGTAAATGAAATTAAACAACTGAGCATTGAAGATTCATCAATAACGGCCAGCTTTGGTTCCTCTGTCAGAAACCAGTCAGATTATCACAGACACCACACCTGGTGAGTCTTTATCAAAATTTGGTTTAAACAAAAATGTTTAATTCATTTTTAAATGTTGCCGCAAGAGCCTGTTTTTACTTTCGATAACCAACTATATACTCAAAATGACGGTGTGCCCAAGTTTTGCCAATACTTTCCTATGCCATCTCGAGCTTAATTGGTTAAATAATTGCCCAAATAATTTAAACCAATATTCTACAAAAAAATATATATATGGCACGTTACTTCTATTCAAGCAACATTCACACATCCAACAGTTCTTGTCGTACCTCAATGAACATTAAGTTTACGTGTGAAACATTGATATATAAAGAAAACAGATGCCTCTCTAATACGGATTATAGAAATCCTACTTTCACCGATTTGGGAATGAACTATTAAAATTGAAGTATAAAATTAACAGTATTACCACTCTAATCAATAGAGCATTTAATAAATGCTCCACATGAATCCAGTTTGATAACGAAATCAAATTCTTAATTATTTCAAGAACAATGGTTTCCCTGACGACGTTTTTTTTACAGGACGCATCGTTCTTGGATTATGACCTAGGCCCACCCACAAAATCAAAAAAAGAAAAAGTAAATCAAATTACCTTATCTCGGTGATATAAGCTTCACCATTCATAATCAATTACGTGATATAAACATTCGTTCCCGCACATCAACAGCATTGTTCTTGTCAATCATTATAATATCAACTCTTTGTTTAGGAAAATAATACCTCTGCCATCAGAGTTATGTTCAATCATAGTTTATATTTTCAATTGTCCGAGATGTAACGCTAGGTATATTGGATCGTCTACACGATGGTTCAAACATAGATTATTCGAACATGTGGATAAATCTATAAGAACGAGCCCTACCTCTGAGCAGACCTTCTTCCTCTGCTGTCCGGTAGCATTCACTCACAGAAGACCACCCATTCACTCACAGATTACAGAATTCTATCCACATCTAAGAGACTCGGCCTCCTCATCTCAGAATCCCTGAACATCCACAAGATGAAACCTGACCTAAACAACAGCACAGCCATTCAGTTGTTAACGGTGTAGTTCAACCATCGTAACTAGCACTTCCCCACCTGTTATTGGTATGCCTCACCCTCGCCCATGTTTTGCATTTTTTTCACAGTTTCTGTTTGTTTCTTTTCTGTTCACTTTTGTTACCCATTTATTTTGTGCTTATGTTATGAACTATTTTTGTCGCTCTTCTTGATTTACCTAATCCTGTTCTTATTCTTTGCTTAAAAGCGTTTTAAGCAAGGGAGCGCTTGAGCAAGAATTCTTACCGATAGGCCAAAAACTACCGTTCCCTGCTTAAAACGTTGTCCAAGGCAGGCAGGCCTTGTTCAGTGATGCCAGACATGTGGAAGTGTCTTTCTATAAAGTACAAATCATAACAGTCACTGGAGAACATAGAAATGTCAAAATAACACA